TCATTTGTCACATACACACTAAGAGCAAAGGTAATTTTATCGAGACTGATGAACTGAGATCTAATATGATACTAAAATCTACCTTTTTTTTCCTTTGCAGATTTCAGTGTGTCCAGATGCCAAATCCAGTCCTTGAGAGTATCAGCATAATTGACACACCCGGCATATTAACTGCTGCCAAACGTAAACTTAGCCGAGGTGAGACAGATTATCTTTAGGGTCGCTTGATCAAATCCATATGCTTCCAGATATTTTCTTGCAAACTGCTGAGAGTGGACCCCAATGCAACTTAAAATGCTTTAGGAGTGCTGTCATAGAAAAGGCAATAAAGTAGGAATGATCAGTCCATCATAATTCACCAAGTTGATGTCAGACAGAGCAACTTAAAGACGTAAGCATGAGCTGTGAGCAGACAAGCATGGACTAACTGAGCAGCAGTTGCTTTGTTTTATAGAAACATTTGTCTGTGGGTGTAACAGTAATGGCTAGAAGCCAGTGAGGACCACTGGGACGTGTTGCACGTTTCTCTATGCCTTTTTGGCTGGAAGGCTTTCCCCATTTTATACAGTGATGAAAACCGCCTGTTTTTGTTCTTTATCCTCAGGCTATGACTTCCAAGCAGTACTTCGCTGGTTTGCAGAGCGTGTGGATCGGATCATCCTGCTGTTCGATTCACATAAATTGGAGTTCTCAGATGAGCTCACCAGGGCCTTTGGGGCTCTGTACGGCTATGAGGACAAGCTGCGAGTGGTTCTAAACAAGGCTGACAGGGTGGACTCTCAGCAACTTATGAGAGTGTATGGTGCCCTCATGTGGTCACTGGGGAAAGTGTTCAGAACCCCTGAAATTCTACGGGTTTATATTGGATCCTTCTGGTCAGAGCCAAGGCTGAGGTGCGACCACTACGAGCTAATAGAGCTGGAGGAGGAGGATCTGCTGACGGATATAAGGAACCTGCCACGCAACGCTGCAGTGCGAAAACTGAATGACCTGGTGAAGAGAGCACGCTTAGTTCGGGTAAATACCCTTTCATTCACATTTGCATGCAGTCATGCTTACATTTAGAAAGGGGGTGAATGTACATATTTGTCCCTGTATGTCAAACTGTTACTCTGTTGGATTAGAAAGGCTTTGTCTTTAACAAACATCAAATAAGATTTGAATCTACGCCTAAAAAGGGTTGTTGATAATTCAGTGAAAAATCTAATTTAATAACTTGTAAACTTCTGAAGACAATTATATGTTTCATTTGCTCTCTTTTCAGGCTCATGCACACATTATTGGCTACTTGAAGAAAGAGATGCCAACAATCTTTTGCAAAGAAAGCAAGAAGCACAGTCTGATCTATGAGCTTCCTGTTATTTTCAACAAGATCCAACAACAGCATCGAGTCCCAGCTGGTGACTTCCCTGACTGCACCAAGCTGCAGGTTCAAAAATTAAGTCTTTTATGTTATTTATCCACCTTAATGCCTTCTATGAGTCTCACAAGTTTGCATCCATTTGCAGGAAAAACTTCTGGGTCAAGATTTCTCAAAGTTCAAGACCTTGAAGCCAAGTCATATGAGCTCCTTGGACAAACTGCTAACCAGCGATATAGCTGGTCTGGTTCCTTTACTGCAGCAGCAGGAGCAGAAAAAGAAATCACTGCCTGCCGTGTTGGATGGCGAATTCATGGGTACGTTCCGGCGGGACCAGTTCAAGGGAGATCCATTCAAGGAAATAATCAAAGAGGATGAGATCAGCGAAGCAGATTCTGATGAATGGATTGTGGAGAAATACAAGCCAAAATACGATGAGATCTTCTATAACCTAAGTCCACACCACGGTAAACTCAGTGGCACCAAGGTCAAAGAGTGGATGACAAGCACACATTTGCCAAATTCTGTGCTTGCTCACATCTGGAGGCTGTCTGATGTTGACGGGGATGGCATGCTGGACAATGAGGAATTTGCCTTAGCAGTCCATCTCATTGAGGGAAAGCTGGAAGGACACTGGCTACCCAGAGAGCTTCCTTCACACCTGGTGCCACCCTCTAAAAGACTCAGTACATCAAGCGACACAACGATGTAATCTTCACATTAAAGAACAATGATAGAAGAATAACAAAACTTCAAATGCCTAAAACCTGTTCTGAACAAACCTGATCACAATTCTTCAGGGGCCTTACAGTCTTTTGCACGATGTTATATATTTTAATTACTGTTGACTTCTATCACGATTACATAACACTGCTTGATATTTCTAACCAAATGATGAATAACATTTATATTGTCATTATTTCAAGTGCAACAATATTCCATAGATGTATTACAGTCTTAATCCTTCAGCTTTTCACCAAACTATATGGCAGAAATGACCATATAGTCCTGGAGAGCAGAGGCAGTCTCCATAAGTTTATGGCAGGCTCTGTTGTTGTGGCATTTGCACTTTTGTCTACAGTCTGCCTTCCACAATAACCCCTTGGACAATCTATGATCGAAAGACCTTTGTACATTGATGGATGACAACAAAATTTACTTCATTTTACATCACAGTTTCTCAGACCATGTCATGACTTATAGAACGGTATTAAAAATAGTCTATTTGATGTTAAATAATCTAAAATGTAGAAGTGTATGTATCTTAACCAACCACTACAAGCATTTAAGAACTTAAAACAGAAAATAACTTTCAGACCCTAGAGTCCAGAAATGTTTTTAAAATGTTGTCTTTTCTTGTTTTGTATGGTACAAAGGTTTTACAAAATGGATATTTGTAGGATAAAAATTGGGGATAAATTTTTTTTATTGCATACCTGTTTAATTGTATTATGTGCACATTTTTATTATATTATTATGTATATTATATTATTGCATTATTTGCTTTACAGTAATACATATGTGGACAAAATCGATGGTACAGCTTTTTCATGGAAAGAAAAACACAACATAAACAACCTGAATCTTATAAAAGAAATGATAAATAAAAATGTGTGAAAATTATCAAATGGAAGTCAGATATTGCTTTAACATGCTTTAAGAGAATGATTAAAAAAATAAACACGGAATATTCACAAAAGAAGCTTAGTATCAATTAAAGCCAAAACGATGTGTACCCTAACAGATTTAGACTTAAAATTATCTTCAGTCAACTCATTAAAGACTGTGGCGGGGAGAAAATGTGAAAGAAATGGAATGAAAAAAATATACATTGAAGATTAGAAAAAAAATCATTCAAAGGTATTTTATGAGCAATGAAAATTAATCAGATGTTAAAAGACGTTGTATGCTTGTATCAAATAATCAGTTCACATACATTTGGTGGTGCACCTTTGTATAATGGATGAAAAGTTTTTAGCATTTCAAATGTCTTATGCTTAGCTCCATGTCCATGGCCTCTTTTCACTGATACTTGGAAAACCTTAGAACCCAAGGACTTCTTTCTTTACGTTGCAACCCAACAATGTATTTCCGGCTTCAACACACTCTGATACACGTGGAGCTGAAAAAAAAATAAAAATTACTGACCTTATTGTCACATAGCAACACACTGTAACTTACCGTGAGGCAAAAAACGTGTTTAAACAGTCACTGATTGAGCAAGTTCTCTGACTTAGAAGATAAGAGAGGTCTGTACTTATAATCATAGGTACACTACAACTGTGAGAGACAGAATGCAAAATAAAAATACCGAAAATCAAATTATAGAATTTTAAAAAATTTGCTTTGTAAATTATGGTGGAAAACAAGCACTTGGTCCATAACAAAAGTTGGTAGCACAACCATAATTGGCTACGACAAAAGTCAAACATTTCCTGCAAGTCTTCAGAACAGATATTTTTGCCATTTCATCCTTGCAGCTCTACTCTAGAGCATTGATGTTTTGGGATTGTTACTGGGAGAAATAGATTTAAACTCCCTCTACAAGTTTATGGTGTTGAGGTCTGAAGATTGGAAAACCTACAAAAGTTGAAATGCTTTTTATGGGGCTAGTCTTATGTTGCCCGTGCAATGAGTTTTGGATCATTGTCATGTTACAAACTTCCACATTCCTTCCTCAATGCAGATGCAGGTCTATAGTACTCTTCCTAGTGTCCTTTGACAACTCTTTGGTCTTTGCCATGGTTGAGTTTGGAGTGTAACTGCTTAAAGCTGTGGACAGGTGTCTTTTATACAGATAACAGGTACCAATGACATCTATGATACCAATAGGTAATGAGTGGAAGAGCTTCTTAAAAAAGCTAAATGTTTTATTACATTTTAGTCTCCCCACGATTGAAGTGTATCTAAATTAAAAATTGCAGTCCTCTCTCATCCTACGTATCGGAGAACTTGCACGATTAGTGGTTGACTTAATACATTTCTTCCCACACAGTATTTTCTTAAACACAGCATTAAAAAACACAGGTTTCTTGCAGATTATCTGTTTTACCCTTCTGAGCCTTGATCCATGAAGCAGTCTTCATTGTGAGAAGCTCCCACTCCGCTTTGGCATCCATCTTGAACCCATGAAGCCATATCAGAGCCAGAATGGAGGCCCACACCTCATTGTTGACCTAATTCACAGGGACAGTCAAAACAGGATAATGAAAAGAAAAGATGTCATTATGTTGCTTTCTTCAGTGAGAAACCATATTGAGCTATTTAACTAAATATGTGCTGTTTAGTGGAAATTTATGATTTACCCACAGACCCAAAGACCACCCACAGACAAATGTTTCTATGATTTACTACATATTTATTCTAATCCCAAACTTAATACAGAAACAGTGTGGTTAGCTTGCCTTCTTATAGCAACAGGGTCCTGGATCCAAATTTTAATTTCCTCCAACATGTGAAGATTTTAAAGTTCCAATAATTGGTTGGAGGGAGTGGACCAGGGTTTACCTGCCTCTTCCCAACACAACTGGAGATTGACCCAAAGCCCTGTCCTCTAAACTATGAATTTTCATTTCTTGCATGCAAACTCTTTATTTTGACTCTTAAATGTTTTACTGTGGGGAAAATTATTATGTACAATTTATTGTTCCTTATATTGAGAGTAACCCACCGATTTTGGCTTTGACTTCTTCACCTCCTTTTTGATCTTTCCAAGCACAGTGGCCAGATCTGTATCAAGCTCCCAGAAGCCGGATGCCTTCTGTAGGGAGACCAGCTGCAGCAGAAGGTTTTTACCAGGCCGCGGGGGCTGAATGTCTGTCCCTTTGAACATTTGAGTGAAAATTACTAAGGAACCTCTGTCAAGGTCTACGTAACAAGTAAATCTTTTTGCATCTATAAATGGATATGGAATAAGAGAAATAAGAGTGAAATAAGAGTTTCATGAAAACTAAACCAACTAGGCAGGGGCAGGCAGGACAATCTGACAGAAATAATATTTGAAGGCAGGATGGTAATCTGGATGAACTGACTGCACAGATAAGAAAGAAAATATTCAGGTTAATAAACATTGTGGTTAAAGTGTGTTTCCCTAAAAAACACATTTTAAAAATAAGCAACATTCATTAAAAAAATTACGACCAGCTAAATTTGGTGATTAAAGGCTGAATTGGTAGCTAGAATGCCTGGATGTTGCTCGGTTGTTAATTCTAATACTGAGGCATCTGGCCCACTGTTAGAAAACTCATCCAAGGTAAAGTTTCTGTAGTAGATTAGTAATATTTTAGTAGCCACATCACTTAACAATATATTCAGTATTAGGGTATTAGTCTGACATGAAATGGCAGGAACAAGTCATTGTTCTATTGCCCTATCAAGACCTGGCACTAATATGTATATGCACTTAATGTAAGGATCGTTCAGATAATGTGATGTGCAGTAGTTTTTTACAAGGTGATCAGGTGCTTAGGAGTTTTAGCTTAAGAGTGACTCAGATATTTGCTTAGAGAAACTGTGAGCGAATACTTGACAGACACTCCTATCTTAGTTGATCTAGTTGCTAAGTGCAAAGCTGTGATCGGCAGATTCTAGCAACAAAACAAACAAGAACACATGAGCAACTTGTTGGCGATGGAAAATATAAGCCCTGCAAAATTCAGACATTGATAAAGTAATGTGTCTGACGCTAATGAAATTGAATTAAATTAAACTCTCCAACAGCATCAAAATGGTTTAATGGATCTGATTTACATTCTTATTATTTTGATTCGTTTATTGTCTACTCCTCATGCTGGACAATTTAGTTTGTTTATTAGATATTAATCTGCACTCACTAGGCAATATTTTCCTCTGACTGCCTGCTTGTCCAAGGCAGTTATATTTGGAAACTAATATTTTTTTCCCACAATAAAAAAAAAGAGTAAACTTTCAAACAGGCAACTTAAATTTCTGTGGTCATCACATTTATGTTAGAGAAAATAACACAAATTAAATGTTCGGTATTCTCTTTAAACTGTTTTAAGAACAGTTTTGACTGTACTATTTTATGGAAAAAACTGATTGGACTTAGAATCAAGGAAAGGGAATCAATTGCTGTAAACTATCATTGGGTGTAGTTCTATTTTTTTTTTCTACAAGAATTCATACATTAAGGCGGAAAATAGGTATATGGTAACCAATGTAACAACAAAAAAACAAAATCCTTCAATGTGATTTCCTGAATTTTTGGTCTTTTGTCTAGATGAAGTACCTTTGATGGAAATGACAGACCTCTCTCATCTGTCTAAGTAGAATTCGCTCAATCAGTAGCTGACTAAATACTATTCTTACCCTTCTTTATGCTTAGTGACATTTTCAGAGTTGTTCATTCTTATACTTACTTGGTGGGGAGGGCACAGCTGTCATAAGGGAGAAAGAAAAGCAAAGAAGTTGTTAAAACCATCATGGAGGCATCATTACATTGAGAAGTTAGTCCTTTAATCCTGGAGATGTTCTTTGGCTGATATCAGGCTGAAACTTTTGCTGTCTTCATCTAGCAGACAGGTGGAAAATAGGTATATGGTAACCAATGGTATAGGTATATGGTGACCAATGCAACAACAAAAAAACAAAATCATTCAATGTGATTTCCTGGATTTTTGGTCTTTTGTCTAGATAAAGTACCTTTGATGGACATGACAGACCTCTCTCCTCTGTCTAAGTAGAACTCGCTCAATCAGTGGCTGACTAAATACTATTCTTACCCTTCTTTATGCTTGGTGACATTTTCAGAGTTGTTAATTCTTATACTTACTTGGTGGGGAGGGCACAGCTGTCACAAGGGAGAAAGAAAAGCAAAGAAGTTGTTAAAACTAATCCTGGAGATGTTCTATGGGTGATATGAGGCTGAAACTTTTACAGTCTTCATCTAGCACTGAATGTATGGTGGTTTGTTTCATATTAACTGAAGCTTTGTGCTTTGTATCCTCTTCCGCTCCTCTTGCACTCTGTATTTGGTATACAAAGTATTTCCTTAGTTTAGATTTAGCATTAAAAAATATGTCCCTTTGTAAATTAATTGATTTGCTATTTGCTTTCCCCTAACAATTCAATTCAATTCAGTTTATTTATATAGCACCAATTCACAACACATATCATCTCAAGGCACTTTAGAGTTTACCGAATGTGTTCAGTCACATATAGTGAAATTAAGTTATAGCTGTGTGTCATTTGTATACTTATAGTAACTTATATTTTAGTTTATTATAATACGAAAAAGGGGGACCATATAAATTTTGAATAGGAGGGTGTCCAAGATGAACCTTTTAGGAATGCAATATAAATTTTGTGGTCTCTGATGTAAAGTTACCTACTGACACCTAAAAGGCCCTGGGCTCCATTTCACAAAGCAGGTTTAACAAACTCAGACTCAAATTGATCTAGCCTATGGTTGGAAACTGAGTTTTTGTTATCACAAAGGCTGCTTTGAGTTAATCAACTATGAGTAGTGCCACTTGGAGTTTAGCATGTGCGTAACAAGTATGAAAAGCCATTATCAGTGGAACACTGATTCGACGAGTCACCCTAATGACATGCAACAGAAAGTGGCAATTTATTACCACTGGGAATAAAGATTTTAATGCAGGAATTTTAAAAAGTAGATAGTGATTATAGGACACAGAAGCAGCAATACATCTGTAAAGGAGAAGAAAATAGTGTGGGAGAAGATTAATGCGTAGGTCTACATAAAGTGGGCTATGACAGGCTGTTTTTTTATGTTTATAAAAAGCACTCTACTCTCTGTTTTTCCATTTCTAGACAACCTCAATAAGAAAAATAAAAAAAATGAAAAATAAAAATATAATAGTCAAAATCACATACCTAGTCACAGATTTTCTAAATTAAAATTTTAAACCAGAAACTGAATTTCAGAAAAAAAAAAATCATACAGCTAGAAATTAAGTTTTATATAGGCCTACCTAGAAATATTAACTCATTTTAAGTGTCCATATTGACATTTTTCGGCTTGTCTAAGTATGTAGTTATGATATATGCTATACATTTTTCGTAATCAAAATAGTAAGAATAATGACCACTAACATTATATGGAGACCTGAAATTCATTTCTAGACATCCATAATGTTCATTCTAGATGTAAAGAATGTCATTTTGTTTGAAATGCTCAATTTCTACATGGAACAATTTTTTTTTTTCAGGTATCACATATTCAGACAAACAAATACATATTAAAACAACTTGCCATAGACTGTTTTAACATCAATAACATTGGGGGGGGGGGGCTAGTTTATTTTCTGGATAAAAAAGCATTGTTCTAACAGGTAGGATCTGGTCACTCCTTTGATTGATTCTGTCTTCCATTACACAGTAAATACTAAGTGGCTGTTTGCAGTTGCTTTGTTATCATTCACATTATAGCGCTGTTAATAGCGGTTATTAGTCCCATAGAATAAATTCTGGTTGTGCCAGTAAGATTAGTAGGGTGTTATCACTGAATGAATACCAATCCTAACCCTGGAGTAATTCCTTTTTAATTTATTTATTTATGTGTGATTTAAAAAAGCGGCAGTCTGTTTTGCTTTGTGAAATGAACCCCTCTCAACTGAGTTGTTTTTAATCACTGCATTAAATCCATAAGGGTAAAACATAAAATTAGTTTGAATTAAAACTTTAAAAACTAGTTGTTGTTTTTTTTAAATTAGGTTCTATGTTTTGCTTTAGGAAAAGCAATTAATAGAATAATTGATGTATTATACTGTAATATCCCAGCATTAGTTACACAGAACATTTCTGAAGAAATGTAATTAATATTAGATATTTATGATATTTAAGTTTTTATATGCTTAGAAAAGCATTGAAACATGTGTTAGACAATTTTTAAATAGTCATCCATTGAACTGAGCCAGATAAAGATAATTTTTTCTCCTAAACTGTAAAAAAAAAAAAAAAAGAATGTGAATAAAAACAGTTCCAGAGCCAGTGAAATACCACAATAATTGTAGTTAGGAACAAAACTATGTAACTATATCCTGTCAGATATAAATTCAAAGTTATACATTTTACCAACATTTTTTCCCAATAATAAGCATCATATTGTTGTTTTGAAATAACTAAGACAGTCCCTTTTTAAATCTGGTAAAAATTGTAGGGAGCTTAAGATTAGGGTGATTGGATCGAAGCCTTCTCCCCTACAAAATCTCTTAGAAATATTTGATACCTGCAGAAAGCTCATATTAGTAGAAAATTTAAATTGTGTTTATTACTTTTGGAAATGTAATATTAGTTAATTTAAATAAATTAAAAAAAATTCAAAGATATTTACTTACAGCATGGTTGTTTTTTATCAAGAAAATCCCACGCTATAACAAAGAAAAGAAGAACAAACAAAAAATAAAGATCTTAGATGAAATAAGGAGAAAAAAACAAAGATAAGTATTGAAATTGATTAATTGTCCAGTATTTGTTACACTGTAAAACCTTGCTCAAGTTCAATTGAAATTAGAAATGTCAACATTTTCATGTCAGTATAGCATTTAAAAATGTGTAAACCATTTAAATTATTATAATTTTCATTTAATTAAATTCGATAGAATATTTAAATTTTTCCTAAAGATATTTATTTACCCGAGCATAATAGAGGCACACCTAACCATAAAACAAAACAAAAAAAGAAAGAGGAGGAAAAAAAAGCAGAAGAATATTACAGATAAAATAACTGAAAAATTGTATTGTCCAGCATTAGGTACCTTGGAAAATATTTGTTAAAGTACAGGGAAATTAGACATTTAACAACTTTCATATCAGGTTATCCATAAAAATGTGGTTTGCTTTTTAACAATTTGACTATTTAATTGAATGTCCCATAGTCATCACAGCAAGTCATTATGACTTGTTCACAGACTCTGAAAAGTTTTAACTATGGTTGTTTTCCTGATGCAACCAAGATTCAAACCCCAGTCCCCTGCTTTATAATCATAGAGTTGAACAATATACACTAGAAGGTTAAATGGCTATCAGTGTTGTTTTTGACAGCCGTCTTAGATTTAGTCTTAGGCTGCGTTTGAATTTATGGGTGAATCCTCCGAAAGTCAGATTCGAAAGGCCAATTACATCATGAGGTCTGGTCGGATTCCCAGACTCCTCGTTATGCGGCCTACAAATGCGTCCTTCTTTTTGACAGATTTGAAGGATGGGTCCGTGTATCCTCTCTATCCTTGGATATCCCAGGATTCATTGGCGGTAGCCATGACAACAGCGGCCTTGGTATGAAAAAAATAAATAAAATGTCCTCCTTTTCAGAAACCCAAACCTGGTCATTATAGATATGCTAGCAGTGCTATCAACAGCTTAGAGACAGAATAATACTTACAGCTTGCGGTCGGAGCAGCCCCTCATTTCAGTAAAAGAAGTTTAGCAAATGCTGATTGGAGCTGTCCGAGATTTTGAAAGCTGCCTTCAGTAAAATGTTTAGAGCAAATGAACAGCTGAGCATCAAACTTGATGCTGAGTCTTCAGATCCTTGGGAAGACTATGAAAAATTGTCCCTTTTTCTGTGCAGCCTGGAACACTGCATTTACGCCCGTGGTTATGGCACATTTTCAAGAGAAACTGCCTGCTTTATCATTTTTGTAGAAGTAAACCCAACTGTTGGCTAAACAGCTAAACTGGTGTCTTACATCTACCTCTATTCATGTTCTTTTGCCAGTGAACCAGTGGGCTGGTCTGTATGTCAATTTTGGGGTGTGACATAAGTACAGGATAGAACCAAATAAAGAAACATCCCCAAATAGACGTAAATTTGGTGCTGTGCTGTGAGATTTGCATAGAAAGGAGGCGTCGATGGGGTTTGAACTTCTCTATACATCCATTTCACCCACTGAACTATCGTTATTCATCTATGACAATGTAAACCCGGTTTTGCATTCTATGACCCCTTTAGGTAAACTGCTTGAAATGTGAATAGTTTACTTTAATAGTTGTGGTTTTTGAAACACCTAGCTGCACTGTCTACGTGTTTCAAAATCTATCGGTCTCCGCCAGTCACGTGACATTTGTTGCTAAGACGCCATTTTTGGTGGAAAAGGCGTAGTGTAAACAACCGCAGCATAGCTAAACGAAGGACTAAAGGATTGAGTTTGTTTCTCTGACTATATGGAAAAAAGTAAGCAGAATGCGAAATTACCGCACCAGTGTCGTGCCAAGGTAGTTATCCCTGCGAAAATTTGTATCCCCTCGTCGGGAGTGCGCACGGAGTAGGAAGATAAACCCGAGTTAACTCCGCCCCAATTCCAACGTGCAGAACTGTCTAGATCAGGCAAAAAAGGTCCCAGCTTTTTCATTTTTGCATCATAAAAGATGCTTATAAGCGAGAAAATGAAAAAGCTGGGACCTTTTTTGCCTGATTTAGACAGGGGGAACAGATTATAGCAGGTGGCTTGCTATAATTTGTTCCCCCCTTATAACTTTAAGAAATAAAGGTCAATCAACTCCAAAGTTTCAGGGGTTAGTTGTCATCATAAAAGATGTTTATAAGCCAAAAATGAAAAAGCTGGGGACTTTTTTGCCTGATTTAGACAGGGGGAACAGATTATAGCAGGTGGCTTGCTATAATTTGTTCCCCCCTTATAACTTTAAGAAATAAAGGTCAATTCACTCCAAAGTTTCAGGAATAAATTGTCATCATAAAAGATACTTATAAGCCAAAAATGGAAAAGCTGGGGCCTTTTTTGTCTGGTTTAGACAGGGGGAACAGATTACAGCAGGTTTTATTTCGTCCCATACTGCCAGTTCTGGCAAAATGGGATGAAATAAAACGGCTGATGTCAGAAGACAAACTGTTTATTAAGGATAGTACAACATGGATAAATTGTACGTTACTATAAACACAGATATAGATTTAAGTACTAAATTTCAACCAGGAAAAAATTATTTTCTTACTGCATATAGTCCTTAATGATTACACGTGCAATCCATTTTCTATTTCATTTTTATTACAAGTATATGGTTTACAACAGTTTTCAATGGGATGAGAACATTTGGACACTGTGAAACAATGAGAGATTTTTTTAAGGAACGTGTGGAAAAGAACAAGGATCTGTTTGCTTTCAGAGGGAGGAGTAGACACTGCTGTCAGCGACCAGCTTTCAAGCAAACGTTTGTGTTTTATAATTAGTTTTAGATCAATATCACTGGCGATATTCTGCTATAACATTTGAAGTAAAGAATAAAACAGTAAAGCTCAACTTTCATAGACGTAAAACTTTTTTAAATTTCAAGTTCTGCACGTTGGAATTGAAGCGGAGTTAACTCTGGTTGTTCTTTCTACTCCGTGCGCACTCCCGACGAGGGGATACAAATTTTCGCAGGGATAACTACCTTGGCACGACACCTGGACTGGCAGCCTCTCACACAACACGATCGTGTCATTTCTGGTAAATAATTGTGCCGAAAGAACAGCCGCGTGTGGCTTATCTCGACTTTCCACCTAATATGGTGGTTTTCCCACGATGCACCGCGCCCGAGGTAAACATTGACGTCACCTGGCGCAGACCGATTCAGCACACAGCTAAAAGAGATTCAGATGCATTTGACTAAAATCGATGTACACAAATACTATATATGAAATACAACCTTATTTATCTCTGATATTTAATCAAATGGGACTTGTCGATTTGTAAAAGGAACATTCATAATTGAAAGTATGCAACCTGAACCCGAGGCTTGGTGAGTGGTCAACGTTCGGGGGTTAGGACGGCATGATTGTGTCATTTTTGGTGCAGTCGCCCTGTTTAGTAAACCAAGAATAAACCAAGCTGTCTTCCCAGCTTCTCTGATCTACCACCGTGGTTCCTTAGCTACGGACGGGGCACAACTGGTCGCCTTGTCCTGGGTATGGTGCTCTCTTTCTCTGTGTTCTCAGACTGATTCCCCCAGAGTCTGAGCTCAGAATGCTGTCTCCCCTTACATCTGATGTTCTGATGATTTCTTCCCCTCTTTTGGGCACTCTGATCAAAACAAACATGGTCTAAGCAAAGGAGATGCGCGTCTTCAAAAAAGATACATCTAGAATACAAGAAACGTAAATATATAAATTAGCGGTCTTCATATTGACCGGTCTGTTGTTGGTCTTGGTCGATCACACGAAAATTGGCCAATTTCCGAGCACTGCAAATTTACCGGTGCTAGTCCATTTTACAGTCACCAAAACAGTCCCTACTTTGATCTGGCAAAGAACTGCATGAAGCTAAACATAAGGGGGATGGTAAGGAGGCCTCCTTCCCTCCAAGATAATTCATACAAATAATCTGTGGAAACATGCAAAAGGATTTTCAGCAACTAAAGGAAATGTGTGCCTGCCAAAATTCTAATAAATGTAAGGAAAATGAGAAATTGTATCTATTGAGGAATGAGAAGTTTTTAACTGCCAGTGGACATAATTTCACGCTTAACTAGATAAAGTTATTTGGTATTAACGTACTCCTAATTAATGTCCACCAATTTCGTAACAAAATAAGGTGATATAACCATGACACATGTTAGGGTTGGAAAACTAGCTTTTAACTTGAAGAAATTTATATTCATACTAACTAAAACAAAGAAATGCTAAACAAACAGAATTGAAATCACTCACGTAAGGATTTAAGGTTATCTTTTGGAATATATCTGAGCACCACTGGTCGTTGAGCTGACTTGAACTGCCTGGCTTTGTTGACAGCAATGAACGCAGTAAAAGAACTGCTCACTCCTGATTGGACACTGAGCTCCACCACCTTCTTCTTCACTTCTTCATCCTGCTGTCCACTTTGTGTCCTCTGCTGCGACTCCAAGGAGCGAATGGCAGTGCGAGAGGCTAACCTGTGGACTGTTAATCTACATAAAGGAGGAAGAGAGATTTATAGGTGAAGCTCATTTAATTAACAAACCGTCTCTTATTCCTTTTTCATTATTTTCCTCATATCATGACCCCACTAATCAAATGTCCCCAAAGAAAAAAGAAACTACTTTTTCATCCAGCAGCAAAGTCAGCCTCCTTAATTTAGTTTACTATTACAAGTTTTTGAAAATTAAATAGAATCCAAATTCTCTTGACATAATGCTGCGTTCCCACCGAATGTGATCTGGGCGTGAAAACACAAACGTTGAAATTTGGACGCTAGGTCAGATGCTGCATCAAGCTGGGGTCCAGTTGGTTTGATGCTTCAATGCTCTGGATGCTCAGCGCTCTGTTTATCTGCTTATTTTCTGTAGCTTTAAGCTACAGAATAGCTTGGATTTATTTACTTTATGAATTGGGAAAAATTGTTTTAACATGTTTTATGCAGGAAAGTCCACCTCCAAATATCATCTGTCCAGTTAGTATAATATGCAGTTCTTGTTCAGAGCAGCAGACTTCCAGCATACTGCTGGCAGGCAGCACTGGAAATCCCTCTTGCTGGAGCTCTCTGCTGCCCCAGATTGTGGGGAATTTCCTGCTGCTGTCCATAGCAGCTGGAAGTGAATATAAAGAGTTTTAAGGTTTGTGAAAAAAACTGAAAGTACCAGAATAAACAATAGAAAATTTTTCATTGGAAGGTTTTAACATTTCTAGTTAATTTATAAACTTTTTTGCCATTGTAATATAATCAGTTTGTTTTATATGTTGTTCAACGAAGTCACCTAGTGGTGAAAGTTAACACTGCAAGGTCAATGTAAAAAGACGGTCTGAACATGTGCTCAGTCAGAAGCCATTTTCTGTTGTTCTTTCTTTGAGTTAAGCGCAGAATGGCATCGTCTGTAAGTAACAAGCCTGTTCTCTGCATTTTAATGTTATAATTTCGAGTCTAATCACATGTCTAATCATATGTGCTGAGCTAATAATTTGTTACCTGTTTACGGTAATATTGCTGTATGTGTATGTGCTGTATTGTGTTTCAGTTTTACAGGTACCTCATTAAAACCTGCTAAAAGTAACCATGGAGTGATTCCTGGTGGATGAATGAGGGAGTGTTTAGCTACCTTTATAGCTGGGTTACTGTCACAACTTCAGTGCTCAGCAAGGCCAGGGCAGCCATAGTTCATAAAAAAAAAAATGTAGAGCAGCAATAATGATCAGATCTCGCTCTCTGTTCCTTTTACATAATTGGCTTTTTTTTTCATCCTTTGGAATTTAACTCCCTTCATGTTTATTTATTTTTCATATAAAGAATGTCAGCAGAGACGATGACAGCTTGCAGGTAGTGTCGTTTTCCTCCAAAAAAACTCCTGGATCAGCGTTTCTGATTGGTTGACACTGTGGCATAATAATTAAGTTTGCACTACAAACATACTTAAAAAGATCTACAAAGGTAGAGAAATGTAGCAAATGACTGACCATCTCTGTTATAAAACCCAAAACATATGTAGTGTTTACATTTTAATTTGTCACACAGAGCACACATTACAGGAGACTGTAGTGTCCAATGGTGTATGAACAAATTGACCAAATGGTTGTGTTGCACAGGGAAAAATATGATTTATGGTTTTCTTTCATTTAAATGTTAGTTTTATGCTTTGCATGTTTGGAGGGGAAGATATGATTTGTTTTTCTTTGTATTTTCTTCTTGAGCTTTGCATGTTTTGATGTTTGTTTATATGATTGTTTTCCTTTATTTTAGACTTTAGAATTTTTCCTGTATGTTGGGTTGTTTTGGTTTGTTTTTCCCTTGTGACAATCCATGCGCACTGGATGGAAATAGTTGTCTGAGGAGGAGGAGTGCATTAATTGCGCTGCGTAATTGCTGCGCTCAGGTGTGAGCAAGGGCTGATTAAAGCCGACATAAAGGGAGTCTGAAGGAAAGGAGAAGAGGAACTGAATCTGCAGGTGACAGAAACAGACGCGCTGCCGGGGGAGAGGCAGGCGGGATCCGTGCGCCAGGAGGGTGCACAGATGGCCCAGTAAGGAGTATTAGGGCAGAGGAGGAAACTCTGCCCGCGCCTGTAAGTAGCGCTCCCCCTCGCTTAAAGCTACAGTGTGTAATAATTACAGGGATATACAGTCAGAAATGTAATATATTATACATAACTATGTTATTTATCATCATCTACGAGCTCAGCCTCTTAACCTTAATATTTGCGTTGCCTTAGAATTCGTTATTTATAATTACATAGGAGCGGGTCTCGCAGCCAAGGAGGCAGACATCTTTGCGCTACGGCAGCGCAGAGCCAACAAACTAGCGATTGCGAGATCGCCCATTACGCAAGTAACTATGGCAAGTTGAGAGAGATGAACTGAGACGGTACTGAACAATCTACACCGTACACAGACTAATAAAATAATATCTGTAAAATTATCTATGTAAACACACCTCATCACTTGAGAAGGTAGGTGATGCGGACGTCGTGGAAGACATTTTGTCCCGTAACGCTCGCCGTACTGTTGGGGGGGAGAAGCGGTGGGGGGGAGATGTTCATGTTGCTGCGGTCTGCAGTCTTGATGTTAGATGTCGCTGAAAATTACACACTGTAGCTTTAAAGCATAAACGGGAATATATCATCCGACGGGGTTTTGGCGCGTGAATGCTGGCGTTCTCCCTGCTTCTCTTCTAGCTGGATCAGTCTGGAAAGGGGCGTGGCACGCCAGGGAGTGGAACAGTGCCGGAGCGCTGCAGAGTCAGCTGTGGATCAGCCAGTGCGTGCTGCAGGCCGATCATGCCACTTTTGCTGTGGCTTTTTGTATAAATAAAACACTTGAACTTGAGTGCTTCACGGTTTGGGTCTTTGAGTTGCTTGCTCCCCCTTGTGTCAACGATTGAGCGTGGGGCCATACTGGCCACAGTTGCATCCATCAGAGAAATACGGTCATGAAAAATACTGCCAGCCCATGTTAGAGCTAAACAACCCTGTGCCTGCTCCCGAGAGGTAACGCCTATTAAACGCGTGCAAGAGCATGCACAAGCTCATTTCTCCTCATGCACACTCTGTATAGAAGTAGCTGTTTGCATCGTTCAAACGAACTTACTTTCCAGAAGAAGATTTGCAATTTTTCCACAATGTCAGACTCACCACCAGTAAGTTAAAATGTGGACGAGCATGGACGGTCTTAGGTTATAATCACCAGAAGGCTTGACACTTAGGAGAACCAATTATTTTGATGATCCACCCGCAAAAAGTTCATGCTACACTATACCTCTAAGGGTATCTTATGTGTTTCTGTCGGCTCTGTTCTTCTTTAATGTTTTTATCAGTCTTAGGACAGTGGAGGATGTTGTTATAATTCTGGCATTTTTACATTGATGCTTTAAGCTAACAGGTTGATTAAATATGCATTATCCTAATTTGAATACATAAAAACCAACAAAAAGTAATGAATTTTTGTTTAAGTTCGTGGGGTCATCAAAAGGACATGCTATGTTTATGTTTTTAACAACTAATGTGTCTATTTGACCTGGTGAGTGATTTTCTTTTTATGTTCACACAAACCTTTGACAGAACTCTCTTGACTAAATCAGGATTTAATCAGGATGATTTAGTCAGGATGATTTAGTCACAATGATTTAAATCAGGATGATTGGCTCTAAGGAGGGCAGAGTAAACTCTGAGTTTACTGAGGGAAACTTGTTCCAGATCAGATTAGCTCTCAGGAGAATGTTATTATCTTAATTGACACAAAGGTTGAGTGAACATTTTTTTCAAAACAGAAAACTCAGTTTCCCTGATTTCAGGTTTTAAAAACATGTATTCTATAGTAAAAATGCTTCAAGATTTGAGCCTCTGGATGTAGGTGTTTTACCCAGAGTCCTCTGCAGGTTTTAAATCGAAGTGCAACTGGTTCTGGTGGGGATGACCTGCCAGGGTGTACTTCACTGTCACGCTGCCCTCTGTTGCATCTGAACTCTGACAATGAAAAAAAGAAATACAATTAGAAAGAATCTTGTTTTAAAATTACTCATGACCCGAAACTCAGGTGACCATACCTGTCCTGTGAGTTGAGCATAAATCAGGGACCTCTGACCCTGAAAGATTGCTGGTGGTGGAGAGAGAATGGTGGCAGACACTCGCTTTGGTAAATCCCAAGAGACAGAAATGTCCCCCACATTGGGATGCAGAGCAACCCTGAGTGACTGCATAACCTGTGTAGAGTGAAGGATGCATTTTTTGTCTTGTCTATAAGGGTAGGGTGCATGTGTTAGAGGTATGTATGGGCATGTGTGGGTGTAGCTGTAAGTGGGTGTTGGGATGTGTCTGGAGCTGAATGATTGTCTAATGAATATCACCTGGATCTGCTCATGGTGTTCTTTGTTTGTTGGATACAAAGAGAGGCTAAGGCAGGGTGCCAATATTTCTGTTAAAAACCGTACAATAAAACTTTTACTAACTGCAGTAAAGCTTTATGTGTCCTTTGATTCAGCACATCGAACAGATCCTTGCTCTCCTCTCCGTGACAAATTTTTGGATGATAGTCATTTACAACCTATGTTTTAAACAATAGTTGTGATATGATTTATTTAAACACAATCATATTCTAATGAGTTGGTTAAGTGTTAGTCAGGTGTTTTTCTTACCTTTGGTCGCATCCTGTTAGTCCTTATGATGAACTGAGCGTGACCTCCTCCCTCTTTGGCCATCCCATTGATGAGAGCAGAGCTGGCTTCATCTCCGATCCCAAAGGAGAAACATCTACAAAACAAGAGTTGATTTTAAACTCTATAACAATATTACATGAGAACATGATCCAGACAGGCAAAGCATGTGTTTATGGTTTCACCTATGGGAGCCTGAATTCTTCTTAACAAGGTCAATAACTTCTTTAGTGTTTCCCACCTTTCCATCAGTGAAGACAAACAGCTGATGGAGAAGAAATCACACAATGTTACACAGTTACAAATTTAAACAGGAGCTGGAAGTCTTTAGAAAGATCTGTCTAACTGTATCTCTGATGTTTTAGTAGTTCAAATAGTGTTACCATGGATGAAGAGCAACCAAAGTTATGACAAATATGAGCTTCAAAGAAAACAGGTTAAACCAGAATTCAATTAAATGTTGAAGACGTACAAGTAACTGTGCTGAAACACTGGTTGACATTAGATTTATGTGCTAAAGTTGAATGAATAGTGCAGTTTTTAGAGTCGATTCAATATAAGTGAGTATAGCTTACCTGTCGAGGCTGTTCAGGAATGCAGGGCTGGCTATAAATGTGTTGGAGAGGCTGAAGAATGTCTGTTCCACCAAGGTTTGCATCCATCTTTTCAACCTCTTTTAGAGCCTTGTTCATGGTCTTCTCACTGTACTCCATGCTCGTACTTCCATTGAAAATGTTCAGAATACTTTAGTTAAAATCATGAGAATTAATATGATAAGCCACCATGTGTCTCATAATATTTTTGAAGGGATGTTGGGGTAAGGGGTTAGATATCACTCACGGAAAGATATGTTCAAAGCTGGAACCAAAACTGTAGATGTTGAAGTAACAGCCCATTGGTAAGCTCTTCAACAGGAGCATCAGAGTGTCCTAGAGAAAGACACATGAAGTAAAGATAATTAACTATGAGGGACAGAATAATGCTTTCACAATTTAACAAGTAAAAGTTCAGAATTGATTAAATCTACAAAGAAAATGCTTAAAATTATTAAACCACTAATACCTAACCCAGATCAGGAAAAATCTCTTCATATAGATGTTGGCCATGTTAAAACAACTCTATTCAGATATGCCATACTATAACTGCTCTCAGGTTTGCTTTAAACAGTTGCCGACATGAAGGTCTATGGTAGAGAGGCTCTATACAGATATTGTTACAGATTTTTATTTAGGGCTAAGCTAAATCAAAAGCAGGGTACCAAGGCCTGTTTCTGTTTAGCCACTCTTCAGAAAGAAAGACAATGCGATATTTAAACAATGCAGATTAGTCTTTAACAATCAGTTAGTGGTGGAAAAAAAACTCATAAGAAAAGGTCTTAATTTATGTTTTTTAAGTGTTAATAACAACTTTTAAATGAGTTCAACAAAAACACACACACACAAATATATACGTATATATATATATCCTCTAGCTTTTTCTCCGCCTCGAGCTTCCTTTCCAAACATACGGCTTTATGATCAGTTCCACGAAAATTAATAGCGATATACTATATCTGACGAAATTGTTTTTATAAGCATTTTTTATTAAAGAATTATGAATACTTCGATAAACATTTTTAAATAGTTTTAGTGCCAATTAAGGCCTTGATTTAAAAAAAATTAATGAATTGTAATTATTTTTAATGATCCGCGGAAACCTTGGTTCATCTCGCGCATGCTCTCTACGATCTCCAAGAAACTCAGAGCGGAGCGGACGGGAGCCACAGCGGCGGCTGTAGGCTTTGCTTTGCGCAGGCGGTCTGGAGCGGAGCGGAGCGCTGACGGAGTATGTGGGATTTCAGGGTTAGATTTCCTGCGGTACTTCAACGGTTTCTTGTGGAGATGAATACCCTACTCGGAGAGAAGCCCAAACAATCCTTGGGGAAGAGTTGATCCAAACCACCAGTTTGAATCCTCAGCTCAGTTTGACGCTCAGACAATCCTTCCAGGGGGAGAAGGTCCAAAACATCCAGTTTGCAGGATGACTTCCTTCCGAGAGGCAAAAACAAAAAAACAACAAGGTTAAGACTCAGGTGACAAAAACTCAGTTTGAGTCAGCTTGGCTGGAGTACCCAAAACTGGCAAACACTCTGGCGTTGTGGTAGTGGCAGTCAGTAGCTTAAGAGTCCTCTGGTAATGAGGTAACCATTCGCAGGTGTGTGAGAAGGTCAATGAGAACCAGGCGCCACCTGGTGGTGGAGGAAAACAAACAAACAACACAACCCACACAAACTGGATTCCTAACAATATATACATACAGTACTTGAGTTGTAAAAAAAAATGAAGGGGGATGTTGGATTTTTATTAGTATACATAGCCTAATTTATAGTCTATTAACCTTAAGCACTATGCATGGTATGGTTGTAACATATCAGGTATGCCAGTCATTGACCTTGACCAAGGCACCTTACAGTAGAACTGCAGTCAGTCCCTGGATTGGCATGGCTATCACTGCCCCTACATAGTTAGGGACAAATTTCCCACTGGAATCAGCTTCATAGTCATAGTAGGCCACTTTTTTTTATTTTACTTTGGAGAAACTTTTGGCAATAAATATATTAAGATTTGGAACAAAACCATCATAAGAAATTGCTAATGAATATCTGAATCCTTCAAATTAAGTATTTTTTTATTCAAATTCAATTAATTAAATTTAAACAGCTGAAACAATTTTCAAAATCTGAAAAAAAAAACTGCGAACAAATTCAAATACATTAGAATTAACCTGAAAATGAAATGAAATGAATTTAAAATATAATAATTTTACTCACCTTTCAAATATTCATTTAGAGTATTTATTTTATAAAATAGACAGCTTATTAGTATTGCTTCTATTGGCTAATTTAAAGTAAGCTAGGCTACATGCTACATCAATATATAAAAAAATATAAAATTAAATTGAAATGGTTCTTAGAGTTCACATCCCATATTGCTGAGTTCTTTCTATATTGTGGCAATTTCAAACAACTTTGTCAATAAGAACCATCACCATTGCAGCCATGCAAAATTCTGCAGGCAACTGTTAGGACAGCTTAGTGACACACTAGGGGGATATTTCATAAATTGCATATTAAACATAATTAGTTTTGAATAGTTCAAATTAACTGAAATATCTTGATTATAATTCTGAATGTGTGACACTTTAAAAGACAAGTGAGATGACATAATTTGAGATATCTCAAAATGCATTTTGACTCTCCAAAATCAGATTAAAGATATCTTGAAATGTTATTTTTCCCTAGACATAATATAAAAATATAAAACATCATCAAGGGCAGTCAACATTTAGTAAATAATATTTGTCTATTCCAGGGGTCGGCAAACCTAACTGCTCAAAGAGCCATATTGGACAAAACAAAAAAATAAATGTCTGGAGCCGCAAAAATGTAAAAGTCTTAAAAGCCTCATATGGCTCAACAGGATCTAAATGTATTATCCCACTATAGAAGAGGACTATGTGTGCTTAAATGTATAATAAGCATTCATGATTAAATGTTCATCCTGGAGCAGATGTCACACAGCAGCATCAGGTGAGGGAGGAGCAGTGAATGCTCTCACCATAAGCGTCGTTAGACCTATTTAAGGGTGGCTTCAGCCACCCTTTCTTTGGCATTAGCCACCCTATAATTATTTTGCGATTTTAAAAAATATATTTTTTTTTTCTGTATTTATTTTTTCCTCACATTTTCCCAAAACAAATGCAGTAAAACACCGAATAAAAGCCATAAAGAAGACAAGTTAATCTGAACAATCATAGGCATAACTTCCTTAAGGACTGGTGTGGACATGTCCCCACCAATATTTTGTACACGTATTTTGCTTTCGGTGCTGTGTATATCTGATTAAAACCCCATTCATGCCGCTCCTCAGAAAGAAAATAAAAAAGTTCTCCCCGCTGCTCACCGTCCACAAACCCCGACAAAAAACTCAGAAAAAAGAATCTGTTGCCTCTCGCTTTCTCCCCATCACCCCCCTCCGCCCTCTCCCCATAACATTTGAATTGAAGATATCCGCGGGTGACGGGTCGGGTTCGGTAGTCATTCTAACGGGTTCGGGCGGGTGCGGGTTGGTAAAACTCGACCCATGCAGGTCTCTAGGCTACACTACATTCAGTATCGTTGCCATAGAAACAGACAACAGCGCCAATATATCAGAATTATACTAAAACACACGCAAATAATTTCCCACATAAAAAACAGGACTTTCAGTCCATTACAGTTTTCCGTTTTTAGAGGGTTGTTTATTTTGCGTTTATTAAGTGATGGCTGTGGTATATTAGCTTTCACTGCTATAAGCTTTCGCAGCAGTGATTGATTAATTTAAACACCTGCTCTACTGATGGTCTATCAGAGTTGGTGTTTAGGTTGAACATAAAGAACACCTTTTATTTGAAGCTTCTTGTAGCTACTGTTTTAATCCCGGCTTTACTTAAAACTTTTTCCTGACTTTGATAGTGTTGCCATTCAGTAGCAAGCACTGCGCCCCTTTTTCTTTTATATGTACATTTAAGATTTAGCGTGTTAAGTTGACAACTCATGAGCAAGCTGCTTTTTGCAATCTAGCAGGAAGGTAAGGATAGGATCTTGCAGGTGTGACGTCACTCTGCAGGGGGTCCAAAGATAAAAGATTTAAACAATTTTGGCATTGGAATTTCAGATTTAAGGGAGTTAGAAAGTTCACTTAGTAAAAGTGCAAATAATAAATCTGATTACCGATTACTTTTAAGCTGGTTGAACATACTGCGACAGACTGGTGACCTCTCCAGGGTGATCCCACCTCTCACCCAGAACGTGGCTAGAGATATGCACCAGCACCTCCTGATCCCACTGAGGGATAAGGTTAAAGAAAATGGATGGTTGAACATAGTCCGCTCTCCCAGATTCTATCAAATCAGTATTGATACCCTCAGGGGCGGATTTAGGAAATTTGGGGCCCTAGGCAAAGACAGGCAGGGGGCCCCCTGAGAAGAAAACCCATAAAACAGACCCATTCTACAGATAGAGAAATGTTAATAGAATAGACATCCATTATTTGTTCTAGGTTTTGTCCCTCTCTTCTTGTCCCTTTTTCCTCTCTATTTATCAGCGTTCTGATGGCATTTTAGCCAAAGGATTTTTTATCAAAAACATAATTAATTAGCACAAATAAGGATTAGTTGTATTAACCATACATGGAAACAGAGTTTTATGGGGCCCCCAGAACTTGGGGCCCTGGGCAACTGCCTAGTATTGCCTAATGGTAAATCCCCCCCTGGATAACCTGCTGGTGGATGTTCTTGACAGAAAGATGGAGTTGCTTAATCATATTCTGCTTAAGGCCCCCATAAGATCTTGTCCGAGTCCTGGTTTAAAAGTAAATTAATTTTAAAAAGTGCCCCAAAATTGACCATCAATAAATGTTCTACAAAATTGATATATATTTATTTGATTTCTTTGATTTGTACTGTCTGTTTAGATTTATGTGATATTTTTTGCACAAAATATATAAGTGAATATTGTAACAGTTATGTTTTCAACTATAAGCATTAAATTGATAAATGTTATTCGCATTTTTTTGGCTTTATCCTTTCCAACAAAAAAAAAAAGGCGTCGCGCAGGTAGCTCCCTTTCCTTATGAGCCGTCCCCACCAACTTTCAACACAAAGTTACACGCTTGTCTTAGACAACGCCTTAGCAGGTGCACTGAAAAAATTCTCTTCTGGGGGCTGAGCCACCCTTGTCTCTTAAACCTAGAGACGCCCCTGGCTCTCACCGCACGGTTTTGTTGCATTGCTAAAATTACAGAAACACAATAAAGGAATCCTTCTATGGTGGACATGTTTCTGTTGGGAGGAGTTGATTGAGTCATGAGGAACCAAGCAGGAACTGACATCCAACAGAGCAGAGCTGTCTAACCATGAAATCCCACATAATCCGTCACCAGTGTTTTATATACATGTATATATACACATATATATATATATATATATATATATATATATATATATATATATATATATATATATATATATATATATATATATATATATGACATATATATGATATATAAAAAAAGGTCATTCACTCTAATAATTTGTTGGACCGCCTTTAGCTTTGATTACAGCACGCATTCGCTGTGGCATTGTTTCGATAAGCTTCTGCAATGTCAAAAGATTTATTTCCATCCAGTGTTGCAATAATTTTTCACCAAGATCTTGCATTGATGATGGTAAAGTCTGACCGCTGCGCAAAGCCCTCTCTAGCACATCCCAAAGATTCTCAATGGGGTTGAGGTCTGGACTCTGTGGTGGCCAATCCATGCGTGAAAATGATGTCTCATGCTCCCTGAACCAGTCTTTCACAATTTGAGCCCGATGAATCCTGACATTGTCATCTTGGAATATGCCTGTGCCATCAGGGACGAAAAAGTCCATTGATGGAATAACCTGGTCATTCAGTATATTCAGGTAGTCCGTTGACCTCATTCTTTGGGCACATACTGTTGCTGAACCTAGACCTGACCACCTGCAGCAACCCCAGATCATAACACCGCCCCCACAGGCTTGTACAGTAGGCACTAGGCATGGTGGGTGCATCACTTCACCTGCCTCTTTTCTTACCCTGATTCGCCCATCACTCTGGAACAGGGTAAATCTGGACTCATCAGACCACATGACCTTCTTCTATTGCTCCACAGTCCAATCTTTATGCTCCATCACAAATTGAAGCCTTTTTTTCCAGTTAGCCTCACTGATTAGTGGTTTTCTTACGGCTACACAGCTGTTCAGTCCCAATCCCTTGAGTTTAAGTGATCACCGATCACAATCATTCAGGATTTTATTCCGGCCACATTTCTTCCTTGAAGATGATGGGTCCCCAACTATCCTTTCAGTTTTTAATAATGCGTTGGACAGTTCTTAACCCAATTTTAGTAGTTTCTGCAATCTCTTTAGATGTTTTCTCTGCTTGATGCATGCCAATGATTTGACCCTTCTCAAACAGACTAACATCTTTGCCACGACCACGGGATGTGTCTTTTGACATGGTTGTTTAGGAAATGAGAAGCAAGTCATTGCACCAGTTGGGGTTAAATAACTTTTTACCAGCTGAAAGATAATCGCCCATGCAGTAATTATCCAATAGGAGGCTCGTACGTATTTGCTTAGTTGAATCCAGGTGGCGACTTTTTTTTGGGCTAGGCAGTATATATATATATATATATATATATATATATATATATATATATATATATATATATATATATATATATATATATATATATATATATATATATATATATATATATATATATATATATATATACACTCACAACTGGAGCTTTAAAAATATACTTTTAAATGGGTCACGCATTCATTTACTGTAACATTGCATTGTATAGGTCCCAGTGAAATTTCTCTGCAACCCCGCATTGGGAACCACTTGTCTATGGTTGGATTATACTATTAGTTAACTTGAGTTATAAATAGGCCTACACCGATTCTGTCTTCACCCTGGTTTAATTCTCTATTAGCAGTAAAGTGATTTAGCTGGTGAAGGTTCTCAATTATCCAGGACATAGTCATTGCAAAAAAAAATAAAAACAGTCCACTGGACTTACCAAGTCCAGTAGATTGTTATTAATTTTTTTTTTTGTAATAAAGTGATTTATGTTTAATCAAAGTAAAGAGTTATCTAATTCAAAGATATTTGAAGTGAATCAACTTAAACCTTTAAAACCATCTCTTTAAAATTCGGAGGACTACCCGTGCACTGCTGATGCAGCGTTTTTCCTCATTGCTGCAGTCCAGGGGTAATGCCATACTTCCTGATCGATCCATCAGAAACACAAACTCTCCACAGGAGGTGAGTGAGGACATCACAGATTGGGGGAACTCAGGGTACAAGCTCACCATCACCACTGGATCCCCCATCAGAGAACCTGAACATGTTGGAGATTAAATAAAAGAAATAAGAATAAGAATAGAGCTTCGGATATACTCTAACATTTAAATAGAACATGAACTAATCTGTTCTCACCAGGTTTGGCAGAAGCCTGTCCTGCCTCCACCACAGCAGTGGGCTGGTGGGCATCTTTGTAATAAATCAGCAGTTCAATGTCTCTGTCAAACTTGTGTCCTGCAGCCAACTTGACCTGCAGTTCAAGAACACAAATAATAAAAATAAACATTTCATCTTGTTTGGAACAAGCACATCCAGCAGTAACATTAGATCTCTACCCACCGTGGCCTGAGTTTGATCAGTGTTAAGGTACTGAAGAGGCTCCAGGGAACAACTGGACTCTACTTTAGAGATTGCATGAGGAGAGGACACTTGGACAGAAAAGGACAGACTGTAGGGAACCAGAGAGGCTGGAACTGAGGTCACCTGGCCACTGGGACCATCGCTACCTAGAAACACCATGTGAAAAAAGTGGGAGTCATCTGGTTTTTAGTTAAAATCATCAGTCTATCTATTGGCATAGCTACCCTGTGGCTGGTATCGAGGGTTGAGTACAGCAGGCAGACAGAACCTCAGCCCATCATCAGCCTGCACAGCCAACTCAGTGACATATTCCAGCCCAATGGAGGCGCTCTCTCCTGGAGGCAGACTGCCCACCTTCAGAGAGAAGATATCTGAACTCTCCTCACTCTCCTCCAACAGGAAGGCCTGCTGCCCGGAGCTCAGAGCATCATCATACTCCTCCATAGCCTGAAGTCCACAAAAAACATGTCAGACATATTTATGTTTTTGTTTTAGCTGCTTCATAGATGCTTCTTTATGTCTAACTCACCTCCTGTTTCTCCTTAACCTCGGCTACGATGTGTGTCTGTCCAATCTGAGCACTGAAATGACACACAGCAGCATCTCCAGGCAGAGGGAAGACAAACACAGCCTCTATTGGTTTATCCTCCTGGTTCTCATAGTTCAGAGTAGAAACCACTGTAGCCACATGGTCTTTCACCTCCAGCTGCACTTCAATGCTCTTCAAAGGAACTAAAGCAGCAAAAACATGGTCATGTATAAACAACACAAAAAGTTAAATATCTCATCAACCTTTTAAAATACCTCTATGTGCTAAAATCCATTAAAGACACAAAATAAATACATCTGTTTTTAAAATGAGCCATAAATCAATAGTGAAAAGAAACTAAACAATCAAGCTTAAATAGATGCGTACTTGGTTCCTTCCATAAAGTGAGCAGACCCCAGGAGTTCATCGTCATTCCTTGGAGAAAACAAGAAGAGGCGTTGAAAGATTGTAATAATAGTAATAGAATTATATTTCTGGGAAATGACGGCACTTTATAGACATGCTTATAAAAACTCAGCAAAACTGCATACTGTACGGAAATCCTGGAATTCCTGTACGGAATTCCTGGAGGAAACTGATGCAGTTCATTTGGACCTAATTTATCAGTCTTGCGTGTGCTGGTTAAGATTTCAAAAGGTGTTTTAATGAGTGTCAGACCCACTAATCTGTATTTAATCAATGGATTGCACATAGCCCGTTTGTAGTACAAGGTGGAGTGAAGTCACAGGTGTTGTGCCAAGAATTACTTCCCCTGTCGCGGGAGCATGCATCACCCTAAACTTGAGAATTTTGGTGCACAGATACACTCGAATAAATAGGATTTTTACTTTTATGGAGACAAAATGTGCTACAGTCAGTGTGCAATGGATAAATTATCTGCTCAGTGGGTGGGAATTCATGATTTTGCTTTCAACACAATTCTAGATAATTTCTGACACTTTATTTGTTAAACTTAGGACCTGGAACCTACATAAGATTTCCTCCCCTTCCTATTCTCACATTTATTGTCCAAGCCTTATGAAATCACAGAGACTAGGTATGATTATGTGGGGAAACTTGCATCATTGTAAACACATTATTTATCAAACTAAGCAGGGGAGGGAATCTTTGGCAACTTGGAATATGGAAGCTGCCGAAGATTCCCTCCACTGCCTATTTTCACATTATTTCATTTTCATTTCATTTAATCTGGTAAGCCTAACTCGAGACTTACTCCATCATCTCTCATCTCCTGTTTTGCTGAAGTTAAAGCCTGGTTCATCTCTAATACCCTTAAGCTAAATTGCAATAAAACAGTTGTTGGGAACCAAGTTTTAACCAAAACTGAGAGTTTCTCTCAATTGATAGTCCCACTGCCTCCCCCTCTACTCAGGTCAAGAGCCTAGGTATCATTTTTGAGAGTCTCTCTCATTCACCTCCCACATCAATAACACCCGTTGAGCCAAGAACCTCCTAGTGATTATCAAGCCACAAAGTAGCATGTAAAATTAACATGTTTACCTGTAAACTATATGGAATACAACTATTATATGATGTAAACAAAAGTTGCTAAAAGTAAACACATCAGAAAAGCACAAACTTAAGACTGCCTAGAACATAAAATAAACTAAGAAGGTCAAAATCTACAGAAGCCTATGCAGTATTAAAAGATAATACATTTTCTTAAATTAGAGATTCTATGAATCCTTAAATGGTGCACATGATGTATCTCCAGAAAAATGTTCAGTGAAACTAAGGCATCGGGATTCAGATTGGTATCACAATAATAATCCAGGATGTTTATTGAAGTGAGATGTTCCCCGCCCTAGGGTAAGGATTAGCTATTTGCTCAACAATAACATACAGAAATACAGTAATGTTTGAAATGTTTTTGTACAAAATGTTACTTGCATTTTAACTAAACTCTAAAATCCTAAAAGTGAAAGTAATATGTATTTGACTCAGTTTTTAAGCAAGTTATCTTTTTTGAGGAAACGAACTAATAATGTTGAAACAACAAAATAATGAGATCGGGTTCTAGAAGTGAAGAACTGATTTTTTTAAGAGACGTAAGACGTTAGTTATGCTTTAGATTATGTTAGATGATTCTACGTGAAGCGTAAAATAAAAACTGTTAACTGCACTGAAGATTAATATAGAAACAGATCAGAATTCAAAATGCAGATGACAAAAAGCTTAAAACACCAACTCTTCTAGCTCAAAGCCAGTCCAGTAAAGTATATTAATACTTACTCAAATATCTTTGTGTTTCAAAAGACGTTTCTTTTCTGTCCTTCTCACTCTCTGCTGCTAGGTGGGACGGGAAATGGTCTGATTAAACAACATCCGTGCACTGCCTTAATAAACGCTCATTCAAAGCCCACAGGAAGAGGACCATTTTATTTATTTTTTTGTTTCTTTTCTCGTTGCATAGCTTGACAGAGAACTACAGGGATAATTAAAGTCAGAGTAGACACAAAACTTGATAACATTCTGCAGCTCATGGTAAGGAAAAGATCTTCACCTATTGCGGATAGGTGTTGCTGTCGACAGTAGGAGCATAATGTGGCAGAGTAGGACAAGCAATGCTGAAATGTGTGTGCACAACTTAATTTAAATTCCTAGCTATCAGTATGGAGCCAGATAACATAAACATTATAATAGGAATAGTTAAAATGTATCTACGAGGGTTTGCAACAGCAGGGATTTCTTTCATTTAAAAATCCGACTGTAGACCAATAAGATGAAAAAGTTCATGATTTCTGTCTCCAATAAGTAATGCAGATTGTCAGACATGTACATTTCTAACAGTAGACTACTGAATAAAACAACAGGGTTTACAAATGGGAAAGCACCTCAAGTAGTTAATTCAGGAATATGACATCAATGTCAGATTATGTGATCTAGGTGCATAATCTGCTTCTGTCTCCTTGAACCCCAGTCGGCCTCAGCAGATGTTTCCTTAGATAGGAAACTTTTAATTAATTTGACTGTATATCTGGTTGAACTGTAAAGTGCCTCAAGATGACATGTATTGTGAATTTGGCGCTATATAAATAAACTGAATTGAAAAATTGAATTAATCTATCCAATAAATTATAAATCTAGATGTCTTTATAAATGTTCATATAAAGAGGAAAAAGGATTTTTTGCTTATGTTCTCATTTTTATGATACTGCTATAATATTTACCTTTTCTTACTAGTCTTATGCATGAAAACCCTGGTCAAAAAATGACTAGAAGACTACTAAGATAGTAATAATAGACAGTATTTGCAGTGTTTATTTTTCAGGTTAAATAGCACCAAATTGCACCTAGATGATGCTTCCACCCTGTGACAAAATGGTTGAGTCTAGGTACACTATGGAGTCTAAGATGAAAGCCAGAAAGCTGAGAGTGGTTTGATTATATTATTTATTGTCTTTTCTTTTATAATTTAGTTGCTATTGGAGAGGAACCTGTTTAAGAGTTGCATTGTAGATGCAAATTATTGTTTTACTCATGTTATTCTTTCCTGGTGTCATAATTGGAATGCATGCTCTTGAAGCAAAAAAAGGACCCAGGAACTCTGTGATGTGAAGGACCTTGTATAGGATCAGAAATGGTGATAAAGCTTGATTGTGTTTATGTCACCTACTCAGCTGTGTTAATAAATGTTTAAATGACAAAATTCCTAAAATAAATGTGGAACGTTTCGAAGCTGTAACAACAATTGCACAGTAGGATTTGACTGCCATTTTTGTCGAGTAAAGTTTCCTCCTGTTTTTGTTATCTTAGGAAGGAAAGATGATTGTATTTTCGTTCATGTTTCTTTGAACAGGTAAGATGATTTTTAGGTTCAAAAACGTAGGTTCGTAAAAGAAGGACTGAGTACACACAGAAAGGGATTTTTCAACAGCTTCCTGCAGGAGGGGAGAAAGAGCTGCAACCCAACACACTACTCTCTCTCGGCCCCCCCTCCATCTGCAGTGCCTTTTATTAACAGAACATAACACATGGTTACAAAACAGAGTATTGTTCTGACAGGACAATTGATCAGGTCATAAGACAGGATGCTCCACTGACTGAATCACAAGGCAGAGTAAAGCATCTCCTTGCTCAATATTTCATATGTACACACATTAATTTTATAATCATCATTGAATAAACCTAAGAATGATTTAACAAAAGATAGACTATTTTGTTTTGTTGTTTTAGCCTGAGGTCCAATCTGAAGTCCTACAATCGCATTACATGATTTATTTCATTACTATCAGAAAGGTTAATTCTCTGAGATTTTAATTTTACAAGTTATTGGTGGATATTTGGGAATGTTACTAATTGCAGATCAGGGAGAAGATAAACCAAGAGACAATGGGTCATTACTGCAATCAAAAGTTTTCTTATTTTAATTTGAATCTTGAATACAGAAACTGGACTCATGAAAAAACAAGTGAAGATGCGTTACATCTCTAGATTTGGTTTCAAGAGCAGCAGACGGAGCACCGAGGACCAGATGAAAGCATCACAGGGGGGAGTCCTCTCTAGAATTAAGATAATAGAATTACATAAGTCCAACACTATGTAGTACAATGGGAGGATTGGAATGATATGAATATTATATATTAACAAGCTATACCAATATTATAGCCGATGTTTGCTGATAAGGACACTGATTGTTATTTTTCTGTCTTACTAAGGTGATGGCTTGTAAAGAGCTTTGACCCCATGCATAAGACTGCAAACGGTCGAAAGCTGCCTGCAAAAATGCTGAAGGCATGAACCCGTGCCGCTGTGTTCATACCTTTTAAAAGCCAGGGACAAGCGCTGGAAGTGAAAGAACTATATATATATTTTTTTTCAACAGAAAAGACCTCACAAGCATTGCTTATTCTTGTTTTCTGCAAATACTGAAGATTGTAACATACCATTAATTTGCATAATTACCTGTACTGCTTTGCTGTAATTTAACATCGTAAACCATCCATAAGTGGCTGTTTAGAGGACTATTGACTGATTGACTTCTTATGACTAGGTTTAAATAACTGGATGTTTGAGTACCTATCCTTCACAGGTAATTTTTCTAATTCAGTAATATTCACTTTCATTTTTAATGATTAATTGATGGTTTCTTTTAAAGGTTTATATCTCCCAATGTACACCCGTATTAAGCTGTGTCGTTAACATTAACACTTCATTTTTTACATTTAAATTTCACATGTACGTGTATGTAGTTAGTCCATCTCAGATATCTTTTATACCACTTTGTAATGCCAAACTAATATTTTATCTTCAATGAACTGCAGGGGGGATGCAGAATTAATTAAATATGTAAGTAATTATACAGGCCTATTTCTTTTATCCACATTAGTGATACATGCTGGTGGTCACATACGAATATTGGCGAAAACAAGGTCTTAACTGGTAACCTTATGAGGATTTTGACACAAGACATC